ATATATATATATATATGCTATATATATATATGCTATATATATTCTATATATATATATATATATATATATATATATATATATATATATATATATATATATATGTATGTATGTATATATATATATATATATATATATATATATATATATATATATATATATATATATATATATATATATATATATATATATATATATATATATATATATATATCCCTATTTTCATTTGTAGTATTTCGTGGCAATTTGTTGGCCGATTTCTAGTTTATATTGTAGAACGGGTTCCTAGTGAATTCGTAATTTTTCGACAGCTGATTGCTCTCAAAGGTCTTTGAAAAGTCTTTGACAATAGGCAAAAAAATCTTTGAAAGTCTTTGAATTTTTGGTCTTGGAGACTACGAGCCCTGGGCTTGTAGCAAGCTTGTCAGCAAATTGTAACAATGCTGTTATTTCATCAAGTTGCTACAAGGTTGTCACTCACAACGTGTTGACAAATTGTTGAATTGCAGGACGATAACAAGTTGTCGGAACAACCTGTAACAAGTCTGTCGAGCTCAACAACCTTGTAGCAAATTGGGAACAAGCAGTGCGAACACATCCTGTTGACAAGTTGTTGGGAACAGCATTGCTATACAAGTCTGCTGCAGGTTTGTTGAACGAAGGCTAAAGAGACGTACCTTGAGCTATATGATGTAAACCAGCGAGAATTGATGCTGATAGCTAAAATAGAACAAAAGAAGAGTGTTAGCCATTCTGAAATCAATCGCTTTTCCATCGCGAAAATAACGCAAAGTAAGTGACGAAACTGAAAACAACAGTTTATCGAGATGTTTAAAGTCCTCACTGTATTGCACCTTGGGCAGAGAATAATTATTAAAGCTTTGTAATTGAAACCGGGCAGGCATATGCCAGGCATATTTTTCAAGCCTGCCCGGTGAGACATAACAAACGTCTACAAACTTGTTACGTTTAATTCGTTGCCTATATTGGTAAAACACTGCAAATTACGAGTTTATGTTCAGGACTTCGAATCTTCGATGATACTTTAGTAAGCAAGTATCATCGAAGATTTCAAGTTTCAAAGATCTTGATTTTTTGTATCCAATTTCAAGTGCTCAAGGATTATGAAGTTTCGTACGAAGCCTGTCAAAAGTGATCCTGGAATTGACAACAACAATAAGATAGTTGAACCTTTTGTTCTCTTAATTTATCGTATAAAGCACCAAGTTTCTTGGTCACATCATCCAGCTTTTTCTTCGTTTGCTAAAGAGAGAAAAGATAAATGGTTGACGCAATGGACCATTCCCCCAATTAACCAAAATTTTTAACTCAACAAGTCTAGACAAAAACTTCATCACAGCTTGAAAGAGCATCACAACATTAGTAATATTCCAAAGTTTCGTTGCAAAATGTTGTAAAATGCGGATAATATAGCCTTGCGAAATTTACAATTTTCAGTCATTTTAGGTTACAAACTGGAAATGGTTACCACTTCTGTGCGTAATAGAAAATGACTGAAAATTACAAACTTCGCAAGGCTATATTATCCGCATTTTACAACATTTCGCAACGAAACTTTGGAATATTACTAATTTTGGGATGCTCTTTCATGCTATGATGGAATTTTGTCTAGACATGTTGAGATCAAAATTTTGGTTAATTGGGGAATGGTCCATTGATGCTACAACATACATTGGACCAGGAAATGTGTCATTATTGTACCTGGTTCATAGCGGTTCCACGACACTTGGCAACCAAACCATCAAATGCCTCTTGTAATTGGATATGTTCGGCAGGGATGGGAGCCTTTATAACTTCTTTCACAGGTTCAGGCTAAGAGAAGATAAAGAAAAAAAAAGTTTGAAAACCAACAAATGAAAAATAACCTATGGTATATCTTTTTTGTACAAGATACCTGCAGCTCTAGCAGTTATACATTATATTCTCCTTGCAGTTCAGCAAGAGCGCGATTAATAGACCATTAACCGTGGTAAGAGTCATCTCTTATTGATCCAGAGTTACTACAGGAGTTCTAAACTGTTCTTCCAAAAGGTCCAGTAAGGATCATCTCTTATTGATCCAGTGTTACTACAGGAAGAAACCTAAACTAAACTAACTTTATTTATACTGGATAGCTCTATCAGTTCTAAATTGTTCTTCCTAGAGGTCCAGTAAGGATCATCGCTTATTGATCCAGTGTTACTACAGGAGGAAACCTAAACTAAACTAACTTTATTTATACTAGATAGCTCTACCAGTTCTAAACTGTTCTTCCTAGAGGTCCAGTACGAATCATCTCTTATTAATCCAATGTCATTACAGGAGGAAACCTAAACTAAACTAACTTTATTTATGCTGGATAGCTCTATCACTTCTAAACTGTTCTTCCTAGAGGTCCAGTAAGAATCATCTCTTATTGATCCAGTGTTACTACAGGAGGAAATCTAAACTAAACTAACTTTACTTATACTGCATAGTTCTAAAAAATGTTCTTCCTAGAGGTGCAGTAAGAGTCATCTCGTATTGATCCAGTGTTACTACAGAAGGAAACCTAAACTAAACTAACTTTACTTATACTGGATAGTTCTAAACTGTTCTCCCTAGAAAGCCACATGCACCAACAGCAATCCTTACCTGATTCGCAACTGGAATATTCTGAACTGGCCCTTGAGGAGGAGCACCTGGGGGTAAACCGCTACCTTGATGAATCATTGAGGGCATTGCGCTACCGGTAGGGTCACCTATAATAATCAAATAATAAATATAAGTTACTCTTTTAAACCTTTTCACGTCAAAATACAATCGGACCTGTCCTAACCCTTTGTAGGGCAATGCGCCCTGCTTTACTGAATTCAAATTAAGTGAATGGGAGTATTCATACTTCATTTTTTTGTGGCTGAACAAAATTATTTTTTGGTATGTAATTACCTGTTTGCACGGGTTGTTGTTCAGATGAAGCATTAAATATTGGCATTGTTATTGGTGCTGGTGGAGTATAGTTTGTCGGCTGGAAAATAAATGATACATGTGTTCATAATATACCTGAAAAAATTTCTCAATTCGGATTGACTGAGAGCAATTTTTTCGAAATACAGTGGCAAGAAATGAAATACAATGCAAATTTCATTGATTACAAGATACATGGATTTATAGCAGAAAATAATACAAAAACCCGAACATTTACAAGTGACAAAAATGGCTGGAGCTTTTGTAGATTGCTATTTAAAAATTATGTGGTCTACACAAGCATGTAACTGCGTAATTCTTTCATTGTATATTATTAATAAGTAACTGCAGTATGGTTTCTTGTGCAATTTGAAAAAATATACACTCGTGAATGATTTTTCTGTGTTGGTGTAATGTACTCAGGCGAATATTATGCTTGTGATGTTACTCTGAGTGTATATCCACACCGGGCAAACTTGCAAAATATGCCTGGCCACGGTGGGAATCGAACCTACGACCTTTGGAATACTAGCCCAATGCTCTGCCAACTGAGCTACGCGGTCAGGACAGTTCGAGTATGTGATATTTCAGGACAGAATCTAGTTCCTTCGATATCAATGTAATCTAATAATCAGTAATGATTTTTCCGTGTTGGTGTAATGTACTCAGGTGAATATGATGTTTGTGATGTTACTCTGAGTGTGCATCCACGCCGGGCAAGCTTGAAAAATATGCCTGACCACGGTGGGAATCGAACCTATATTATCAGTTTCCAAGGACTTTCCAGGCCAGGATTTTTTTTAAGAAATTCAAGGAATTTCCAGGATTTTCAAGGACCGTGAGGACCCTGTCATTTGCAGTGGCGTACATTAGAGAGAAAGGCAGGGGCCAAAATAATTCCTGAAAGCAATATCGAAGCAATAATTTCTTAACTAGATGAAATGATTGGCAGGCCAGGAAACACACCTGATGTTTCTTCGCAATAGCATGTGTGCCATCCGCCGACCACGTCGACGTTGGAGGTGGGGGCTCTGGAATAATAAAAGAAATATATCAGACCGTTATTCCATTTGTATTCGGCGTTATCCCACGGCGCGATAATTGTGAAACTCATTAATAATTCATGAAGAAAACACAAAAGAAATCATGGGCGTGAAGGAATTTGTATATCTGATACAAAATCATGCTGATTTCAATGGACCATTCCCCAATTAACCAAAATTTTGATCTTAACTAGCCCAAACATAAATTTCATCACAGCTTGAAAGAGCATCACAAAATTAGTAATATTCAAATAATATAATAATAATTTGCAATTATCTGTCATTTTAGATTACAAACGGGAAATGGTTACCACTTTCCAAAATTTTGATCTTAACTAGCTTAAACAAATATTTCATCACAGCTTGAAAGAGCATCACAAAATTAGTAATATTCCAAAGTTTCGTTGCAAAATGTTGTAAAATGCGGATAATATAGCCTTGCGAAGTTTGTAATTTTCAGTAATTTTGTATTACGCACAGAAGTGGTAACCATTTCCCGTTTGTAATCTAAAATGACTGAAAATTACAAACTTCGCAAGGCTATATTATCCGCATTTTACAGCATTTCGCAACGAAACTTTGAAATATTACTAATTTTGTGATGCTCTTTCATGCTATGATGGAATTTTGCCTCGACTTGTTGAGATCAAAATTTTGGTTAATTCGGGGAATGGTCCATTTTTTCACCAAATATCGTACATTTATTTTACATTGTTGAAAATACGAATGTTCCAATCAAGACGTTTCACAAGCTATACAAAACATTCGCGTCCGTTTGTATAAGACATACCATTGAGACTTCGTGTATCTGATACAACATGATGCTTTATCTCTTGCATAAAAGACGATATGCAAACGGTTAGTCCTTGTAATTTTATTTTAAATCGTATGAGCGTTGCAAAACGCAAAGGAATTTTTTTTCACGGCGTGTGAGTGATTTGTCCATCCTTCGGTAAAGGTGAAATTCAAGGACTTGCCAGGATTTCCAAGACCCGTGTACACCCTGAGGACTTTCATGTCCCTTTTTCAGTACATTCAAGGACCTAGAACTGGGAAAAATCTTTGAAAATGGCACGGATTTGCCGTAAATAATTCACTTTATCCAGTAATATTCCACAAAATCACTAATGTTGGCACAGCTGGAGGTTAAGGAAATTAATTCCAGGACTTTCAAGGACTTCTACTGATTTTCAAAGACTTTCCAAGTCTTGGAATTGTTTTCTCCAATTCAAGAACTTTCCAGTATTTTCAAGGTCCATGGACGGACATGAATGTAAAAACAATTTGTGACATATTAAAATCGTGTAATTTTCGTTCGGAAACACTTTTTCGATGACGTGTGTTTATAAAATCAAACACAAGTCAAAATATAAATGTAAAATTTTTTTGGGTAATCGTGTAATTTTGGTTCGTCGAGAAAATGAGGCACACTCCATTCTTACCTGTGTGAGGTTGTCCGAGTTGTCCAGCTGGTGGTGGGGGAGGGTAGGAGGAGGGGGGAGCCCCTGGAGTATTAGATACACCGTATCCTTGGATGGGAGGAGGGGCATTGCTGGGGTAACCTATCTGCGAGGTAGGAGGTGGGGGGTTATAGTGGCCAGGGGAGGGGGGCTGATTGCTAACTGGAGAGGGACCTTGGGATGTGGGGGGAAGAATACCTGGAAGGTTTCCTGTGGAAAAATAAAACGTGTTAAGGGACCGGTCATTATCTATGGGGTGGCACCGAAGAGAAATATTTTTCGTGGCAAAAATTTTGCTGACCCAACCATTAAAAAGACAGAAATTTGATTACCCAACCTCAAATATCAATTAAAAAAAATTACCCACCCTGGCAAAAACGTTACAAAAAGATACCATTCAGTTGTCACACATGTCCTTTACCACTTCTGTGACACGAGTTTGATAACTGCTTGTGCAATTTTCTGCAGTCTAAAGTTTCATGTTGTCTGCACATGCACTTTCTTTGGAGACACCATTTGTTTTGTCAAAATGATCAAAATAGTGACTCTGATTAATTCACATATTGTATTGACATATGACTGTTGACATTGCTTTTCAGTCTTCAATATTTCAGTGGGTCATGCTTTGGAAATGACAATAAATTTTTATTGCCCAACCCTTGAGTTGTTTTGTTTTTCATTTACCCAACCTTTTACTCACTCAACATTTTGTTTACCCAACCCTTTTCTTCCGCTGTACCCCCCCCATAAATAACGACCGGTCCCTAAAAGGAGATTTTCGGTCAGAACTGGTGCGTATTAAGCGCCATACATCTCTAGCTGAGTAAGATTTTCTTGACAAGTTTCATTTGCTTGTTTGTACGGTAAAAAATGACAGTTTTTCTTGCCAAGGAAGTTAAGGAACCTTGGTCCAAAGCTCAAGCTTTTGGACAAGAAAAATTTCTTCATGTGTACGACCGGCAAGGAAGGCTTGAAAAGCGAAAATTTTCGTTTGCACACTTTAGGTCCATTTATACGGGACAAAATAAGTCGCGACTTACATAATACGCGTCTTATATAAGCGGAGTTATCGCATAAATGGTTCTCTACGGCTTTAGTCTTATTTACTTGCTATAGCTATAATGCTGTTTCGGTTTCTTTTGTTTTAATATGCAAGGCTAGTAATTTTACGTTGTTTCAAGTTTCGGGCATGTATAGTTAGAATTTTTGTTCAAAATTTCAGTTATTCAAGACGCGACTTAAATAAGAACAGCTGAAAGTCATGTTCTTATTTAAGGCGCGTCTTATCCAAGGCTTACATAAGAATTTTGTACCTTTTATACGACAAACTCGCGTTTTATTTAAGTCGCGTCTTACGTAAGTAGCGTCTTATTTTGTCTCGTTTAAATGGCCCTTTTGTCTCAGCTTGAAGACTTCATTTGTTTTTCATTTCAATTTCATGAACACTTAATGGCTTCCTCATGTTGTTTCGACAAAAATTCACGACTGATATAAAATCTATTAAACACATTATACCATAAGATGGATTTGTTTGTGATGGGTACGCGACATTGGTCTGGGAAGGAGCTTGGTTGCCATGGTAATATGACGTATGAGGGAACTGATGTTGCCCTGACAACGACGTCGGCACATGCGAGGTGGGAGCCTGGGTCGGATTATAACTGCCTGGATTATAGAAGTTTGATGGTTGAGGCTGTTGTGGTATGCCAGTCTGAAACAAAAATAATTCAATTCATGACCAATGAAAAGATTAAAACTACACGCGTAAAAATCCTTACAACTTGTCAATAAGATGCGTTCGCAACAGATTTGCATGTAGCAAGTTTGTCAACAAGTTGTAACAATGCTGTTATTTTATCACGTTGCTACAAGGTTGCTAATTTAACTTGTCGACTTGCTGTTTTGTATTTGTTCCAGATGTTTTCCTGTTTGCGTTTTCCTTGTTTATATTCATGGCAACGGCCAAAGTTTAACCCATCAAGGGCCAGCGCTCTACCCTTGACGGGTAAAATCGTCTGGCGTTAGACAGAGTAAAATAATGAAGTACAGTAGGACGCATCATACTCGACCCATTAACATTTAAATAAATTACATGCGGACAGATAGCATTACTTACATTTTGCTGAACTTGCGATGGAGCAAAACTCTGCTGGGCTTGACTTGCTTGTTGCTAGAGAAAAAAACACAGTAAAGTAAAAAAACGTTGGGGCTGCAATTAAATTTTATTTTATTTTAAAAGTATTATACGATTTGATTTTTTCTGTTAGTGTACTCAGGTGAATATGATGCTTGTGATGTTACTCTGGGTGTATATCCACACCGGGCAGGCCTGAAAAATATGTAGTTCTGGTTCCTTCCATATCAATGCAAGCTATTAATATTACTAGATTACATTGATATCGAAGGAACTAGACTCAGTTCCGAAATATCACATACTCGAACCGTCCTGACCGCGTAGCTCAGTTGGCAGAGCATCGGGCTAGTATTCCAAAGGTCGTAGGTTTGATTCCCACCGTGGCCAGGCATATTTTTCAAGCCTGCCCGGTGTGGATATACACTCAGAATAACATCACAAGCATATTATATAATTTATCGCCATACTATATCCTATCTACTAGACAGCACATTACGTTTTTCATTAAGACCAATAGTCCATGTAGCAGCTACTGTACTGACAAATATTTATAAATTAGTGATCGGCACTTAGGTATACTTAGAAAAAAAAGATAGACAGCTTGGTTTTGTTACAAATTTACAGTGTACATACAAACATATATACAAAGAACTTCACATGTGGAGTGAATTATTGACAGACATGAACAATCCATTATAACGAGATCAGCTTTTCCGAGCTATTTTAACGAACATAGTAAACAATATAGTTGAATATGTAGGAAATAATTATTATTTTAGTTACATAGTCATAAACATAATTGTTGCTAATATTAGTTTATACATATACTCTAGATCTATTGCAATTCTTTAATCTCTTTTAATCTATAATACCACTGCAATTCTCTACCAAAGACGGTGAATAAAATCTACTACTACCATGTCTTTGGCATCTATGGATGAAGTTAATCATATCTTATATTCATATTGACAATTACATGTACCTGAGGTTGTACTTCGGGCGCGGCTTTCACGTCAACTCTCGGGAATGGAAATGATGGAGGAGTTATGGAAGATGTCACGTGACTAGGATACTGAGCGTAATAGAGTCTATCTCGTAATACCGATACATCTTCCTGGAGGAAAAACAGAGAAATCTTTGCATGAAAACATTGTTGTCTCCGCACACAAAATACATTTCCTCATACACAAGTTGTTACAGGTCTGAGAAAAAGCTGTTACAAATCTGTTCACAAGCTGTCGACAAGTTGTGTTTGCATTAATTCTGCCCGGTTGTTGTAAAAAGTTTGGAACAAGCTGTTGACAACTTGTAACAAGCTTGATGGCATTGTCAGACTTGTTATAAGAATGTTCTAACAAGTCTGATACAGTCATGATATAACAAGAACGTTACAAGGTTGTTCTAACAAGTCTGATACAGTCATGATATAACAAGAATGTTACAAGGTTGTTCTAACAAGTCTGATACAGTCATGATATAACAAGAATGTTACAAGGTTGTTCTAACAAGTCTGGTACAGTCATGATATAACAAGAATGTTACAAGGTTGTTCTAACAAGTCTGATACAGTCATGATATAACAAGAATGTTGCAAGGTTGTTCTAACAAGTCTGATACAGTCATGATATAACAAGAATGTTACAAGGTTGTTCTAACAAGTCTGATACAGTCATGATATAACAAGAATGTTACAAGGTTGTTCTAACAAGTCTGATACAGTCATGATATAACAAGAATGTTACAAGGTTGTTCTAACAAGTCTGATACAGTCATGATATAACAAGAATGTTACAAGGTTGTTCTAACAAGTCTGATACAGTCATGATATAACAAGAATGTTACAAGGTTGTTCTAACAAGTCTGATACAGTCATGATATAACAAGAATGTTACAAGGTTGTTCTAACAAGTCTGATACAGTCATGATATAACAAGAATGTTACAAGGCTGTTCTAACAAGTCTGATACAGTCATGATATAACAAGAATGTTACAAGGTTGTTCTAACAAGTCTGATACAGTCATGATATAACAAGAATGTCACAAGGTTGTTCTAACAAGTCTGATACAGTCATGATATAACAAGAATGTTACAAGGTTGTTCCAACAAGTCTGATACAGTCATGATATAACAAGAATGTTACAAGGTTGTTCTAACAAGTCTGATATAGTCATGATATAATAAGAATGTTACAAGGTTGACGACACAAGGTTGTAGCAATATGGTACTTATATAACATGACTGTATCGGACTTGTTGGAACAACCTTGCAACAAGTCTGATAATATCAACAAGGTTGTTGCAAGTTGTTAACAGCTTGTTCCATACTTGTTGACAACTTGGGACAAGCAGTGCGCACACAACTTGTTGACAGACTTGCTATAAGATGCGAAATTTTTACTGTAAGAAATGCGTGTTTTAGGATTGACCAATTGAAACGAAAATCCTTTAATTTCCAGCAAATATGTTTCGAAAGCAAAGCTATACATTGTTGAGAAGAATATTATTGTAACAGGACGGTACCTGGTCATTGGCTGACATCAAATACTCCATTGCAATCTCAACGCTGCCTTGGGACGCCAATATACTAGCGTACTTACTGAAAGATACAACGGGGAAGAATAATTTTTAACTTTGAAACAAATGATAGCGATATTAATTTTATTTTATTACAACGACGTTTCGATACTTCTTGCATCATTTTCAAGTTAAAGATAAGAATTATTCGTGTTTTGCTTTAATTATAACGGCACAGATTAAGTAATCCGTGATACAGATTAAGTAAGGACACATAATAATATACACAGTAGTCCATCTCCTCTGTAGTACCGAGTAAGACTACAGATGAAGTATATACTTAAGTATAAACTATCCTTACTTAATCTATGGTCAGATCATGGATTGTAAAAGAACTGGATAGGAAACTTGCTGACGTCACAGTCTAAACCTAGTTGCAATCTGTAACGTCACGCGTATTCCCAAAGTTCTCAGCATTTTTGTTATTTCGCTACATTTTCCGCTTTAAAAGAGTAATATTGAAGCATAAACTGGTCTAATTGTTTTAAAAACATGCCTAAGCCACGACAAAAGTATTCAAGGTAAATGTTTTTCGTCTTTGTTTTGTATTTTTTTACATTTGTAACTACGAAATTGGCGTCCCCAATTTTAACGAAATTTGCGATGCATTTATCACTGTTTAATGCTTGAAATATTTGCTAAAATTGACTGGGAATACTTAGAGATTTCATCATAGAATTGCCTAGTTAGAAAACTTACCACAACATTTCCGAGACGTGAGAGTTCGTGGCTTTAACCACTTGACGTCGTTCTTTTTCAACAGCTTGCTTTAAAATCATCACTTTCTCAATAAGATTCTAAAAACAAACAAAAAAGACTTGTAACCAGGCTTTTACACAGAAAGGCGTCTTGGGACGGCCTACAACAAAAGCGGACTCGCAAATTCTGCGGAAAAGGGAGACGATGTACAACGAAAAACGGACTCCCAAATTCTGGGAAATTATACCTTCAGTTTTCAATATTATTATACATTTGACATTTTGATCAATTTGATGGCGTACTTGGTTGAATGAAAATGTTGAAGTGAAGAAACATAGCGGCACAAAACTCACAAAGCCAGGGGTGTTTGAAAAATGTAGAGTAAACTTTAGAACAGATACTAACATGAAGTAATGTAAACTTGTAATACTGTTTAAAAATCTCATGATTCAAACTTCAAAGGTTTTGCAGAAGAACGTTTTCCCGAATCCAAAGAAGACATGAAATCTGTGGACGTTTTCACAGTTCCACACTTCCGCCTACCAACAAATTGAAATTGATTACTATTTCCACGGATTCAATCAAACTTTTTAAGTGCAGGACTATAATGGTTGTAAAGGACACTAAGTTCATTTCATTTGAAAGAACTCTTACATCCCACTCTCAAATTCTATTACAGATTGTTTACAGTATATCTTGCTTAGTTTTCAAAATATTTCGACTGAAAAAAGTGAGCTGTTCGCCATCTTGGATTATTGAGGATATGCATGTTACGTCAAGAGAGGGGTCACGCTAATTTTTTATCTTCAGAATGAGCGATTAATATGGGTTTCTGGTTGCTGTCTGAAATTTAGAAATGATTAAAAACATTTCAAACAATTCTGGATTGTTACTCAGTCATTTTAGAGTAGTTTTATATGGTTAACCCAACTCCTGACGTCATCAAAACCATAGTTAATGAGGTCAAGAATTAGTCCAAGATGGCGGAAAGCTCATTAATTTCGCTCTAAATATTTCAGGAACTAAGCAAGATATGACAAATCGTTAATAGAGTTTAATATATAATTTCCTTTGAATGAGACAAACTGTTTTATATTGCCAATGTCTTTTAATTAATAATATAGTTGTACACCCAAATGTGTTAAAATATGAGAAGATCACTCATTTTAGCGTTCTACGGTTTAATTACTCTCTTTACATCTTTAACGATGTACACATACGTTTTGCAAATATTCTAGGTATATATAATATATACTTGCAAGGCATTGAATTTTGAATATAATAATAATAATATACGTACTTGCAGTTCTAAAGGCGACGGTTCAGCGGGCATCGTTTTAGACCTAGAACAAAATAAAGAACAGCGACACTTTAGCATAATACGCATATAGTGTTCACCAAATAGATTTATGGGGTTAACGATAAAAGTAATTTAAAAAGAGAAAATTTCTTCTGGTCTTAAGCGATACTAGCGAGCTTATTCGTTTGTTTCAGCTCGCTTAAGGTTACAGGACACCCTTTTTGGCGTTTTGCGGAAAACGCTACTGCGCGCTCAATATCAGTCCGATTTTCATCAAATTTTCACCAAATGTTCTCCATGCAGTGCATGCAAAATAAGGTAAAGTTGTAAAATTAACAAACAATAAAATAATGTACGAATTATTCAGGAAAATCTTAAATCGCGGAACCTTTACGCTTTTGAGTTGTGCTCCTGCTGGTTTTAAGTTATATTTATGAAAATATCATTTTTATACAGTAAAATAGTTGTTCTAAAAAATTGTGTTCGGAAATTTTTGTTTATTTCGTCATTCCGCTGATATGGCGATTTCTTTGACGACTGCAATATATTTCTGAATTGTTTGAGTGAATTGCTCTTTATTTTTAAAATATCCAAAATTAAAAAATCGTTTGAAAATAAGTAATTACCGTAAAATTCTTCGGGAGAAAATTGAATTTGAATACTACATTTTCAATGTTTTTCTTATTGCAGCGAAATGTATTTTATTAAATAACTCTGCGAGTTTTCAACATTTTTCGTTCAAACTTGGTCAGATAGTAGAACTAGTCTGATGCTTTCATTGAAACCAATAAAAAATTTTAGGCAAAATTAACACTCAAAGGTGTTCTGTAACCTTAATATCGTCTGTATTTTCTACTTACCAACAGGAGACAAACTTCTCCACATTTCCGGCGCAGATATAACACACCATCGCATTAGCATAATTCTCGTCCTGTTGTGCCTCTAGCCGCTGACCTAGCAGATCGCAGAGTGGAGCAAACTCTTCCGGCTTAGCATATGTGACTAGGATCGCAAGAGCCTCGCGCCAGTTCTCCAAATTGCAACTCTTGACAACATCAGGCCAATCACGATTCACTACCACGGACATCAACTAGAAGAAAGAAGTCAATGGTCAATGAATGATTCAAAATCCATCACTACAGCTAGAAAGAGCATGTTAAAATTAGTAAAATTGCAAAGTTTGGTGGAGAAATGTTGTAAAATGAGGAAAGTATAGCCCTGCAAATTTTGTATTACTGTCGTTCCAATTGAAGTGTTGGTCAAATATTGATTCAATACATTACCTCGGGCTGACCAATTCATTTCATCAAGTTCCTCGAGATATTCATACACTTCCTGGTATAATTGTAAACTTCCTGTTGAATAGTTTGAATGCACCAATCAAATTTTGCTGTTTGTGCAACTAACCAATCATAAACAGAAAGGAAGTGACCAGAAATGATCAAATACTTGGAATTAGCTCTTTCACAGGAAGTGTATGAATATCTCGAGGAACTCGATCAAATGAATTGGTCAGCCAGAGGTAATGTATTGAATCAATATTTGAGCAACACTTCAATTGGAACGACAGTAATTTGTATTACGCACGGGAAAATGCACCACATTTGGGCCGAAATGCCGTGCACTTTCCCGTGCGTAATACAAATTATTACAAAATTTGCAAGTTTCGTAGGGCTATATTTTAAAAATTTCTCCACCAAACTTTGCAATTTTAACATGCTCTTTTGAGCTATGGTGATGAATTTTGTTCTTTGTAATCATTTATTTAAACCAGAGTAGCGAGCGAAACATGATTGATATACCTGGTTGCAGTGAACGAACTAACTTTAAATTCTGTTTTTGTTGCCTAGATCAAAATTTAGTCCATAGCTGGAATTGCCTAATGCAGGCGAGAGTTACAACTCTTATCAACTCTGATCCGTGTTTGATCAAGCTAGAGTTTTATAGTATTCTTCTTACCCGCTTCAGATTACTCTTCTTATTTTGAAAGTACATTTGTTGAGTTTTAGCAAGGAGTTCGGGTCCGCCAGCGATTGCCAGTAGAAAAGCATCAGCCTAAAATGTGGTAAGATATAAATCGAAAATTTAATCTAAGAGATCTTGACATTTTTGAAAGTTTTTTTTCAGTGAAACGTTTTTAGTAAAAGATTGGGTAAACGAAAAACAAAACAACTCAAGGTTTGGGTAATAAAAATGTATTGTCACTTCCAAAGCATGACTCACCCAAATATTGAAGACTAAAAAACAATGTCAACAGTCATATCTCAATACAATATGTAAATCAATCCGAGTCACTATATCTTGATCATTTTTCGATTTGTCAGGAGGCAAATGGTATCTCCAAAGAAAGTACATGTGCAGACAACATGAAACTTTAGACTGCAGAAAATTGCACAAGCAGTTATCGAACTCGTGTCTCACAGAAGTGGTAAAGGACATGTGTGACAACTGAATGGTATCCTTTGGTAAAGTTTTTGACCTGGGATGAGTATTTGGTCCAAGAAAATATTTTTAAAATATTTTCCAAAAGAAAGAAACGATAGAAAGAATTTTAACTGTACTGATACGAGCTCAGAAATGGTTAGAGCGCTGCACCGGAATCGCAGGGCCGTAGGTTCAATTCCTACCAGAGGACCTTGTGCTGCATTTTTCGCAGTCGTTCCTGGTTAGGTCTTAAAATGTATATATTCTCACTTGGATTACAAACCCTAAGATCCTAATCATAAGTGCATCCTTCTTACCAATGCAATATAGTGTTTTAATGCATAGACTACAGAATATTGTGAGAGCCATTAGGGCTATGCAATCAGCACAGACGTACCATTCTATCACATCTGAAGCAAACATCAACAGCAACTTCAAAGTTTCCCGTCAATAACGCTTGACTGATTAATCCATCACTTTCTGAAAAAATAATAGCATATATATTCATGTATACCCGTGCATTTATAAGAATTTTGTTGAAACATTGTATAGGTAGTATTCTACAATAAGCTGTCGTGGTTTGTGTCTGAACTACCTGAAAAAGATATCTCAACCGTGGTGGTCCAGTGTAGGTAGTATTCTACGATAAACTGTCGACGACAACTTATTGTAGAATACTACCTACACTGGACCACCACGTTTGAGATATCTTTTTCAGGTAGTTCAGACACAAACCACGACAGCTTATTGTAGAATACTACCTACACTGGACCACCACGTTTGAGATATCTTTTTCAGGTAGTTCAGACACAAATCACGACAGCTTATTGTAGAATACTACCTACACTGGACCTGGTTTGTGTATGAACTACCTGAAAAAGATATCTCAAACGTGGTGATTCATTGTATGTAGTGTTCCATCAAAAGCTGCCGTGGTTCATGTCTGAACTACCTGGGGTCGGTTGTATAAAACTCTTAATCACTTTTTTAATCACTATTTTGTAGTTAAATATTGGTTAACTCTCAAATACGCGCTTCTTATCGGATGACGTTTCCACTAACTATAGTTAACTTTAATCAGGCACGGATTTTCCGGGCGTTGCCACCACGCCCCGGCCAAAGCAAGCAAGCAGCACCCCCCAGATATTTATCCACCACCGAACGTTAATATAAAAATCCGTCTATGATTTTAATCACTTTTTTATACAACCGGCCCCCTGAAAAAGATCTAAAATTTTGTAGATTGGACACAAGTTACTGAAGTTAGTATTTTGTTTACGGTATCTTTTAAACACTAACCCTCGTCTGTTGGTATCGAGAATGGTGTGGTAATACGCATTTCTCCGCTTTCTCCTGCGTAAAAAGATTGAAATATCACTGAGAAAAAAATATTAAAATAATTTTCCACATACAAAAGACAAACATTGAACACACAATAAGAAAAATTCTGTCGTAGAATTATACCTGAGGTATCTAATGTACCAGCGGAAATTGCGTCAAACAAGAGACTCGGATCCATGCTCTCGGTTATGAGAGTCTAAAAATGGGAAAAAATGCGTTTACGTTTAAGTGATGTGCCGCTCATAATGATTGCTATATTTACTCTAAACAAATTCCGCTTGTCAACAAGATGTGCTCGCACTGCTTGTCCCAGTTGTTGAGTGACAAGTCTGGAACAAGTTGTTATCATCTTGTGACAATATTGGTGAGGACAACAGACTTGCTACAAGTTGTTCCAACAAGACTAATGCAGGCTGTTCGTAACAAGTTGCTACGAGCTTGTTGTCATCGACTTGTTACGTGCAGACGATATCAGACTTGTTGGAACAACTTGTTGCGAGTCTGTTGGCCTCATCAACCTTGTTACAAGGTGATCACAACTTGTTCTAAATTGTCAAGGAACAAGCAATGCGAACACATCTTGCTGACAAGTTGTGAGATCAATAAGAGATGATTTTTACTGGACCTCTAGGAAGAACAGTTTAGAACTGATAGAGCTATCCAGTATAAATAAAGTTAGTTTAGTTTAGGTTTCCTCCTGTAGTAACACTGGATCAATAGGAGATGATCCTTACTGGACCTCTAGGAAGAACAGTTTAGAACTGGTAGAACTATCCAGTATAAATAAAGTTAGTTTAGTTTAGGCTTCCTCCTGTAGTAACACTGGATCAATAAGAGATGATCCTTACTGGACCTCTAGGAAGAACAGTTTAGAACTGATAGAGCTATCCAGTATAAATAAAGTTAGTTTAGTTTAGGTTTCCTCCTGTAGTAACACTGGATCAATAAGAGATGATCCTTACCGGACCTCTAGGAAGAACAGTTTAGAACTGATAGAGCTATCCAGTATAAATAAAGTTAGTTTAGTTTAGGTTTCCTCCTGTAGTAACACTGGATCAATAAGAGATTATTCTTACTGGACCTCTAGGAAGAACAGTTTAGAACTGATAGAGCTAGAGTTGTTGACAAGTCCGGAACAAGTTGTTATCATCTCGTAACAATGCTGTTGACGGTAACAGACTCGCAACAAGTTGTTCCAACAAGTCTGATATCGTCAACACGTCAGGACAACACGCTCGTGCTACGCTACTTTCGCAATGTTACTAATTTCCAGTGGCGCCGCCAGATCGATAATAGACCTTTCCCCTTATAACCACAATTTTGATCTAGGCAAGTCTAGACAAATATTTCATCACAGCTTGAAAGAGCGTCACAAAATTAGTAATATTCCAAAGTTTCGTTGCGAAATGTTGTAAAATGCGGATAATATAACCTTGCGAAATTTGCAATTTTCAGTCATTTTAGATTACAAACGGGAAATTGATGCCCCAACACCCGAATCGTATGTCAATTTCCCGTTTGTAATACAAAATGACTGAAAAACGGCAAACTTCGCAAGGCTATATTATCCGCATTTTACAAGATTTTGCAACAAAACTTTGGAATATTACTAATTTTGTGATGCTCTTTCAAGCTGTGATGAAATTTTTATCTAGATCGAAATTTTAGTTATAAGGGGAAAGGTCAATTGGGGGGGGGCGAATATTCATATATTTGTGTTCACAGACCATAAAAACAATCGATTTCAAAAGAAGTTAATAATGCAGAACACGAAGATATGAATATTCGCCCCCCCCCAATTATCCAGTTGGCGGCGCCACTGCTAATTTCATTATGTTCTTTTTAGCTGTGGTGTTTGACTTAGATTACAATCTACAATCTTGGCAAAAGGTTCATGAAACACCTATAAAAAATCAATAATATATCTTATTGGATTCTTCTGAGCCCAATATGGCAAAATATTAAGGTCGAGCCTAATATTGAAGTCGAGACTTAATATTTTGCCATACTGGGCGAAGATGACTTCAATAGGAGTTATATTATATCGAACAAAATAATTCTATAACAAAATTGTCAATAAGCGATAAAGTAAATACAGCGAGTCTAATAAAGCGACAACATTACTATACATATATCGGCGGCGAATTTGCTTAAATAACTAAAAAAAAGTTAATAAACCTGTTTTTACAAATATGTGTGCATAAATAAACTCAATTCCATGTATGTTTAAAGGAAATTTGACCTAATTTTAACGAAAAAATGATATTACTAACTTCTAGGCTGTTGCAAACAAATAAATGTCACGAAGACAAGTTTTCCCACGCTTTTATATTTTTAAACAAAACTGGTAGAAAAAACTGTATTAATGTCCCAAATTCTTTTCATTATTCTGCCATATCGTTTGTCGTATGTTTGAAATTGACAAAACATCTGAAAAGGGTTGAAAAACCATGAAAAAAGCCACATTTCGCAACTGTCCAATAGGTTCCTGTCCAATATCGAAAAATATTGGATCGGCACGCGACCCTCTCAACGATTACTGATTAATTAAGTGCGCGTGAGTGTATAATAAAACAGACAAAATCCACTCGCCCTGCACAATGTTGGACATAGATTCTAAAAAAATTGTGTACAATAGTTCATCGATGACAGAGACCATCATCTTACTCAACATTGGAAGGGGGGAAGAATAAATTGAATTGTTAATCAAACTGGATGTTCATTAGTTTTTGCCATGCAGGATTGTAGTCTAGCATGCACGTTGCATCTATTTGGTCAATTTGAATTCTCTTTCAAAACAATCGTAAAAAACAGGTGTGAAATGCATATCATAATACCTTTGCCTGATCGTCCGGTATGGATGGAGTCAAAGCTTCACCAGAGAATATGCCGTCGCCATCACCACCGGCACTTGAAGTCTAGTAAAAAAGGCAAACGTTATGATTTGGAAAATTTTTTATTATACGTAAAAAATGTACAACTTGTCAACAAGATGTGTTCGCAACAGGCTTGTGGCAAGCTTGTCAACAAGTTGTAACAATGCTGTTGTTTCATAAAGTCGCTACGCTGAAGTTGTCACTCGCAACTTGTTGACAAATTGTTGAATTGCTGGACGATAACAAGTTGTTGGAACAACTTGTAGCAAGTCTGTTGACAGGTTACGATCATTCAAGATTTCTAGTGGTACCTGACTGGTACGCCAATGGTTGTTGCCGCGTACTTGCGCTAGAACAAACTCAGTACTCAATGCTCAATGTGTGCTTAGTCTTTACAAATAAAGTTCATAAAGTACAGGTTTCTGAAAAGTATGTTCTGACTACAAGATAGCAAACGAGTTTTGCTATTTGAAAAGGGAGTTTTGCTATTTGAAAAGGGAGTTCTGCTATTTAAGAAGAGAGTTTTGCTATTTGAAAAGGGAGTTTTGCTATTTAAAAAGGGAGTTTTGGTATTTGAAAAGGGAGTTTTGGTATTTGAAAAGGGTGTTTTGCTATTTGAAAAGGGAGTTTTGCTATTTGAAAAGGGTGTTTTGCTATTTGAAAAGGGAGTTTTGCTATTTGAAAAGGGAGTTTTGCTATTTGAAAAGGGAGTTTTGCTATTTGAAAAGGGAGTTTTGCTATTTGAAAAGGGAGTTTTGCTATTTGAAAAGGGAGTTTTGCTATTTGAAAAGGGAGTTTTGCTATTTGAAAAGGAAGTTTTGCTATTTGAAAAGGGTGTTTTGCTATTGAAAAGGGTGTTTTGCTATTTGAAAAGGGATTTTTGCTATTTGAAAAGGGTGTTTTGCTACTTGAAAAGGGAGTTTTGCTATTTGAAAAGGGAGTTTTGCTATTTGAAAAGGGTGTTTTGCTATTTGAAAAGGGAGTTTTGCTATTTGAAAAGGGAGTTTTGCTATTTGAAAAGGGAGTTTTGCTATTTGAAAAGGGAGTTTTGCTATTTGAAAAAGGAGTTTTGCTATTTGAAAAGGGAGTTCTGCTATTTGAAAAGGGACTTCTGCTACTTGAAAAGGGAGTTTTGCTATTTGAAAAGAAAGTCTTGCTATTTGAAAACGGAGTTTTGCTATTTGAAAACGGAGTTTTGCTATTTGAAAAAAAAGTTTTGCTATTTAAAAACAGAGTTTTGCTATTTCAAACAACCGACTCCAACGTTTCTTAGTGCCATCAGTGCAATCATGTTTCAAGCCAAGACATCTCAGACACATGATATACCAACTAAATTACGGTATTGAATACCTTGGACTTGGAAAGGTCATGAGCTACCAGCAAAAAAATAAGTACGCAGATAGCAATATTGGCGTACCTCTGGTACGTAAGTATGCGAATTATCGCACAGCTGCACCAGAAAACTCTTATTACTTACCAAAGCTAATTTGTTGTATAATCGTGGCCAATATTTCAGCACACCCAAGACAGCATTCATGTCACAGGTCTTACACAACTCTCCAAACTCTTGAACAGCCTAGAACACACATTTCATTTTAGAACCAGCAGGTTAATCTGTATGGATACAGAATCTTTGCTAGAAGTGCGACTGTCCCCAAATATGATTTTTGGTATGTGTAATATTTGGGTCATTCGAAGAAGAAATGTAATATACAGGGTGTATCAAAATAAACGCAATTCATCTTTTGTGCTTAATAACTTTCGAAATACTATTTCTAGTTAAACGCTTTTAGGCTTACTTCAAAGCCTGTTCTTTTCTCTTTCAAAC